CCCAAAGCCCCAGTAGATAGTTGTATGTCATAGCTGCACACCCTTCTAGTTGCTGTATGTGGGACTCGGCCCCAGGATGGACAGAGAAGTGGTGCCTCAATGCGCACCCGGGATCCGAACCCGGGCTGCCAGCATCGCAGCGCGCGCACTTAACCACCAAGCCACAGGGCCGGCCCTAGACAGTCTTTTCTTCATCTCCCTTTATTCTTTATATTGAGATGGTCATCAATCTTATATGAGCATCCATAGACAGCCCTGTTTATTATTAGAACATTCTTTATGTTTAGGCCATTCTCTGAAGACATGTGTAGTGTCACCTTAATGTTTTCACTGAGTTATTTCCAAATTATATTGTAAAGGAGATTATTTTTTCCTACATAGGAAATTACTTAGTATCAACAATAATGTACAGGCTCTTGTGAGTTTCATAAGAGATTAAGTCCCTTTACTCACCTGCCTCCTAACAATGACCCTGGACATTTCAGCGTTGGTCTTGAGGAACATATTCTTTTGGGCATTCTCAATCCTATTCTTGTATTTTGAATCTGGTAACAGAAAAAAAAAATGGGAAATTTTCTAAAAAGTGCTTTAATCTTTGGTCTCAGAACTCCAATGCTCAAGTAATGAAATGGAAGAGAATATCCATTTTTATACTGAGTAACTCACACATTGCTTCTCAACAGGGAAAATGTACTTGTCTAAAAAGGAATATACTATTTCATTATTTGTGTTAATAATGGAAATAGTACAACATATCTGAGACTGTCTTTTCAAGAGCTGCCCTCGGGATGGAAATCTGAATTAAGCTTTAGAATCTCAACCATCTGAATTGACAATGTATTGATAAGCAGAAAAGCAAACAATGCTGACATAAGATAGTCTATAGTCTCCCCTGTGGCTTTTATGACCTTTGAAAGGAAACGAGCCCATTAAAACCACTGATTTATACTAAATGAGTGTTTGTGCCTTGTGTCCTCTCCCCTGTTGAAAAAGCTCTGAGTAAATGCTTTGATTCCCTCAGGATACTGATGGGACTTTTTCCTCTAGCGTGTCCCTTTTTATGTCTAAAAAGATTTGAGCTCTGACTAAAGGCTTTCCCACATTCATGACACTTGTAGGGTTTTTCCCCAGTGTGGGTTCTTCGATGCTGAATCAGGACTGCACTTCGGCTGAAAGCCTTTGCACACACATCACACACATAAGGTTTTTCTCCACTGTGGATTCTCTGATGTAGGATTAGGGCTGAGCTCTGACTAAATATTTTGCTACACTGATCACATTTATGTTGTTTTTTTCGAGACGGATTTCTCTGTCTTCTTTCAAACCTGCCACCTTGTTCACAGGTTCCTTTATATGTGAAACTCTGCGAAGTATGCATATGAAGGGTGTTAGAAACATCGGAATGCAGTTCTACGCCTGAAGAAGTCTTTTGCCTCGAAGTTGATTTGATGTTTGTAGTTCTGGTGTCTTTATCTGAAATAATACACAGAAAAGCAAATGTCACCAGTTCTCTGTTCAGAAAGAAAAAAAGGAAAATAGGATGATCCAAATGAAATATATACGAATTATTATTATTAGCTAACATGTTTGTAAAACAGCATCACAATGTGGAGGATGTAGAGGGTAAGGCAGAAAACACTGAGAAGATCATAAGGCAAAAGAGAAAGGTTTATATTCTGAGGAGGCAGTCAACTAGAAAGATGAAAAGCTCTATGCAAAAGGTAGAATGGTAAGTAGGGGCAAAAAGATATGTGAGAGACTGAGGAAAGTGTGGAAGAAAAGAAAGGGCCTAAAAGATGAGGAACTATTAGAGAAACAGAGCAGCAACTGAAGGAGAGGAATCAAATGTGGCAGTGGGAGTAATAAACAGGGTTTAGTACAAGAGTATCAATCAACAAAAGTTCAATATGATAAATGAATCAATAATTAAGCAAAGAAAGGAGATGAAAGAAGCCAAGGGGTTAAAAAGGAATACGGAAAATAAGGTTAGACAATCAAGTCGGGGGAGAAAAGAGAAAGGGAGGGGAGGATTATAGAGTAAATGCCACCTCTGGAGATCAAGGGTAGCAGAGTACTCTTCTACAAAATACCTCTACTCTTATATGTATTTTATAGTACCAGTTGAACAACATCATTACTGGTTTAAATAGAAATCATTTTATAAATGGTAAGAATTCTGTCTCAAATTCATTTTTTATAGCTCAAACTCTAAAATGACCTCAATATCTAGTTACTACCATCAAAATCCTAGCAACAGTTAGCACCTGACAGCATGGAGCCCAAGGTCATCTGCAGAAGCTTTGATAAGACATGACTTGGTACCACAGAAATCATGTAGCGGCCTTAAATGGTTCTGTTACCCTATAACATGATTCCCGTTTTCTATGCCTTGTATCCCAAGATTCTGGGCCTTCTGCTTTCTGTTTCAAATTTCTATGCATCTTGATAAAAATGTAGGAAAGGCCCCTGTGAGGACATTCACAGGTAGAATGTGGTTCTTGCCAATACCAGGAGCCCAGGACCCGGCTTTCTGTAGTACCACCACACCAAGCCGCTGAGGCTGGGATGGCTTCCCTCTCTATCCTGATGAAGTGTGAAAAGACTCACTTTTCTCCTAGTAAAGCCAAGACAATTGCTAGACTGGAGGTGTTAAGTGCCCAGTGTACAAGCTTCTTGGAAGCAGGTATTTGTCAAATAAGAGAAATCTTTTCTAAATATTTCTCTAAATTTTTTATTTTGTTTTTTCTGTAGTTTCTTATCAAAATTCCCTTGAAAAAACTCTAACGTTGCTTAGCTAATAAGCCACCCCTGGAATATAGAAGCAGTTGGGGGGGGGCGGGGAAGGAGATCCTCCCAACTGAGGTTTCCCTCTTCATCTCTGGCTCCCATTTTATCTAGGATGATCATCTAGGAGGCTTAAATGTCACTTCACCAGAGAGGCCTTCTCCACCACTCTATTTAATAAGACCCTGTCCCCACGTCATGTATCTCCCTTATTTTGCTTTGCTTTCTTTCCCATAGCACTTATTTTTTTAGTATATGCAATGGAAGAAAAGATTGCTATGTCAGCCATTTTGAGGCATTTCTGTAAAAAGTGACGCAAAGAGTAACAGAGGCAAGTTTAGATTGGGAGGGAGTAGAGAAATGAATTCAAAGCACCACAAGAGAACAAAGTCAACTTAGTAGCAATATGGCAATTTTGATACTAGATCCCACCAGTAACTGAGCAAGACGACACAGAGAAAATGATGATGTAGGCCAGTGTTAGATCAAGGTTAGACTGTAACCTTGAGGTCCTTCAGAAGGGCCACAGGGGCTCCTGAAGGTAAAAGAGGTGGGAACAAGGCTGAGTTGGAGCCCTTGTGCGCGGAGACTGCTTGCTCCTGCCTCAGTCAGAGCAGCTGTGTTTTCATGTGTCTTATACATTGGAACTCCACATAAAATTTCATTTGAGAAAAGGGTCATACTGCTTAAAAAAGGTTTGAAAATCCTGATGGAGATGATGTTAAGAATTTTTAAAATCTGAAGATTTTATAAGAATCTATGAGAAAGAAACAAGAACAAAATACTGTGAATGTTCATTAGTGTGACACATAATGGTGCAAGTTCCCCCAGTGAAGAGGAGGCAAGAGGGGAGATTTGAGCCCATATGCAGAAAGCAGCCAAGGTGTGTGCGACAGGAGGAGAGGCCAACTTTGCCCCCCACCATGAACCAAATCCTGCTCCTCACCCTTTTGTCTTAAGGAGTGAAGCTGCTTCTTCACAGGCTTGAGCTGGCTACTTGGTGACTCCTGAGTGATTTCCCAAGCTGCTAGCTTCTCTGCAGGCATGTCCTCATTTCGTCCAAAGACAACCTGAAAACAGTTAAATATAACTGAGGCTGAAAAGGGAATCAGGTTGGGACTTGAGGATAAAATAACAGAGGAGAAACTATGTAGAAAATACCCTGGGACACAGGAAAAGGGAGGAAAAAAGCAGAGCCACATTCTATTTCTGGCAGAGCCGGGAGTACATTCACCATGCTATCCATCCAGTGGTGCTGAGTAAGAGTACAGTTTGGGAGCTCTACCCACAATGATGTGCCAGGGCTCCTGACTCAGCCTGGTCACTCATCCCCACAGACACCCTCTTACCTGCTCAGCCGGCCCATCAAGCTCTTTCTCCAGCTCCTCCAGCATAGTCACTGCTTCCTCTCCATTCTCTGGTCGGTGATCTCGCAGCCAGGCCTGCAGCTCCTCTGGCAGGATGGCCAGGAACTGCTCCAGCACCAGCAGCTCCAGGATCTGCTCCTTGGTGTGCACCTCCGGCCTCAGCCACTGACGGCAAAGCTGCCGGAGCCGGCTCAGAGCCTCCCGGGGCCCAGGGGACTCCTGGTAGCCGAACTGCCTAAACCGCTGGCGGAAGGTGTCTGGGCTATAGCAGCTGCTCCAGTGGAGGCTGGAGTCCAGATCACAGGCCTGCTCTTCCTCTTCCATCTTCACTACCAGAATGCCGTCACGCTCCTCTGAAATTTGTGGAAGGAGTGTTGATGATGCTCTCAATTTTGCAGACATTTGGACTGGGAATAGCTCAGGACTGCTAGGCTTTAATCTTCAAGGAGGTGAAGCTCTCCCTAAGACACTCCTTAAATACGATTAAAGAAACAAGTGGAAACAAGACAAAGACAAATGCTTCTTAGAACAATACAACTAAGATTAGAAACATAAGACTGTACAGAAAGTACTGCCCTTAATCTAACATAAACCATTCTTTCAAAGAATAATTCCTTTTTTAAGAGAATCAAAGAGCTAAGACACATTAATTCATATGCGTGAGTAATTCCTAATTTATTCTGAAAACCATGCCCATGAGGCTGACTAAATATCACAATAAGAGATCAGCCAGGATTGCAAAGGAGCTCTGGAGAATAGAAACAACAGAAGCCAGAGAAAAGCTATGACTCTGGAGCAGGTTCAGAGAGCCAATTAATTTTATCTAGCTTGTTGCAAAGAACTCTAAGAAATAATCTCATGAGAGAAATACTTAAGTGTGGATTTTTTTAAACATTTACTAATTGTTAAAACAATATTATTTTGACATTAAAGGAACCATTCAAAAGAAAAAGTAATCGCATATTCCTCCATCTTAATATATTTCAATTTTTTCATAATCACTTATACTTTCCATCTGTAACATCTATATTATTTACTTAACTATATTTTTATTGTAGAATATTTAGGTTGTTTCTGATTTTTACTATTATAAACAATGCTGGGAGGCACATCTTCATGAATATACTATTTTTCTCTTTTCAAATTATTTCCTTCAAGCATGTCCCAAGGTCTTGCCTTATTGAGGTTTTCAAATGACAGTGGCAAATTCTGTCTTGCTATGTATTATCAAATAAATTACAGAAAAGATTATCAATTCACAATGCCACCAGCAACATAATGATGTATGAGGGCAACAATTTCTCCAAATATGATTAGATTGTTAATAGGAACGGGCTGGGAAGATACTTTTCTTAGTACCATTTTACTCAGTACTATTACTATTTACTGAGTATTATTAGTTAACTGATGACTAATTTAAAAATCTTATATGTGCCCCTATTTTTCCTCTTTATGTAGCCTGCTATATTTTTTCCCACTTCACCAAGCACTGTTCTAGGCACTGAAGATACGGGGGTGACCTGAACAACGCCTGTGGCTTCATGGAGTATATACTTGATAGATGAACGGCAAGCAATAGGACATATTGGAGTATATGAGGAAGCCATTTGATGTAAAACTAATTCGGCTTGACTTTGTTTTTCCAAAAGGGTCTGATGTGGCCTTTGAACGTGCATTGTATATCTGCTTTAAGCATTTACCATGTCCCAAAGACAAGAATGCCCTTAAGGATGCAACTTCCCCCACACTGGCATTTCCTTAAAGATAAGCATTTCTCCTTAGGCTAGGATTTGATTGCTGCACTCATCCTGTGACCACACAGCTCGCGACAACAAACCCGCTACTTGCTGTGCCTATCCAGAGAGCAGACCTGATACCTGCTGTGTCCATCAATCACTGTGCTGACAGGACAACCTCCAGGACAATCTCATGTCTATTGTAAAAGGGACATTGCAATCATATGTCATACATGCTCTTTGACGGTACATAACCACTCTGTACACCCCCCTTCTTTGGTGCTCTTCCTTCCTTGGGGAAGGAAGGCCCCAGGCTTTATGGTCCTCAAATATTGGCTCATAATAAACTCACCCCAATTTTGATTTATAGACTGAGTATGGATTATTTGCATCCACATACTCTAGCGGGGAAAGACAACAATGTTACCAAATAAATGATACAACTTTATACAATGATGTGTTACCATGCAAATAACAGCTGACACATATAGAACTTACTATGTGCCAAGCACTGTTCTAAACATCTTAACAAATATAAACTCATTTAAACCCTCACGAAAGCTCTGTCAAGTTATTTTCATCCCCACAGTTGTAGATGACGAAATTGCCCCGCAAAGGTCAGGTAACGGCACCATGGGCAAAGGGGCAGGGTGGAGTCTGAATCCAAGACGTCCACACTTATCCACCGGGTTTTGTGGTCAAGAGGTGGAGGCAGGGCCGGCCTATGGCTTAGCAGTTAAGTGCACACGCTCTGCTGCTGGCCGCAGGGGTTTGGATCCCAGGCATGCACCGA